CAATCTCCCTAATGTAAGTTCTTGTAAGCTTCTCCATATTGTTTGTTTCTTTGATCGGCAGGAAGTGTGTACACTTGGTCAATCTGTTGACGATGACCCATATGGTATCAAGTCCACCCGTTGTCTTGGGCAACTTGGTTATGAAATCCATAGTTATCCGCTCCCACTTCCATTCCGGTATCTCCGGCTATTGTAGTAGACCGGAGGATTTCTGGTATTCGACCTTGACCTTTGCACAAGTAAGGCATTTACTGACGAAGGTAGCAATCTCTGCTTTCATGTTAGGCCACCATTATATCTTTTTGAGATCCAGATACATCTTATTTGATCCCGGGTGCATGGAATAACGAGTGTTGTGCTACTCGTTTATGACCAAGTCTTGGAAACCACCTAGTTTCGAGGTCCAGATCTGGTCCATGAAATAATAAGCTCCGCCACCCTTAACCTCCAAGTTCTTATCCATTCCTCTTAGGGATTCACCTGCCACATTTTAAGCCTTGAAAGTGTCGAGCTGAGCTGCTTTAATTTGTGTGGACAAGTGTGAATGGATAGTCATAGTCAATGATTTGACTCTGCGACCAGAATATTCCTTCCGACTCAGGGCGTCAGCTACTACGTTGGCTTTACCCGAATGATAACGAATTTCACATTCGTAATCACTGAGTGGCTTGACTGACCATCGTTGTCTCATGTTGAGCTCCTTCTGGTCGAATATGTGTTGTAAGCTCTTGTGGTCTATTAAGATAGTGCTTTTCGTTTCGTACAGGTAATGTCTCCAGATCTTCAGAGCATACACAACTGCTCCGAGTTCAAGATCGTCGGTCGTGTAGTTGACGTCATGTGTCTTTAGTTGTCTTGAGGCATAGGCGATGACCTTACCTCGTTGCATCAGAACACATCCGAGCCCTTGATTTGACGCATCACAATAGACAATGAAGTATTCTATTCCTTCGGGAATGGATAGTATGGGTGCAGTGCACAAGGCTCGTTTGAGCGTTTGAAACGCTCTTTCCGGCTTCTCTTCCTAGTCAAAGGCCACGCCCTTCTGGATAAGTGTTGTAATATGTTTCGCAATGCGGGAGAAATTCTGAATGAACCTCCGATAGTAGCCAGCGAGGCCTAGAAATTGATGAATTTCCATAGGTGTCTTCGGTGTTGACCAGTTCTCAATAGCATTGATTTCGGAAGGGTCCACATGTATTCCCTCTTGGCTAACCACGTGCCCTAAGAATTCGACTCATCTAATCCAAAATTCGTATTTCGAGAACTTCGCGTAAAGCTTCTCCGAACGTAATGTTTCGAGGACCTTTCGCAGATGTTGACTATGCTCTTCCTTACTTCGAGAGTAGATAAGTATGTCATCGATGAAGACAATGACAAAATGATGCAAGTAAGGACGACACGCCGTATTCTTTAATTCCATGCATACAGCGCGCGCGTTTGTCAATCCACGTGGCATCACTACGAATTCGTAGTTTCCATAATGAGTCCGGAAGGCTGTCTTTGGAACATCCTCCCCTAGCACTCGTAATTAGTGATATCCGGATCTCAAGTTGATTTTCTAAAAGAAGTTCGCCCCTTGAAGTTGGTCAAACAAATCGTCGATCTGAGGCAAAGGATAACGATTCCTGACGGTCAGCTTGTTGAGCTCCCTATAGTCGATGCACATACGAAACGATCCATCTTACCTTTTGATGAACAAGACCGGAGCTCCCCATGGTGAGAAGCTTGGCCTTATAAAGCCCTTGTTGAGCAGTTCGTTAAGTTGACCAGACAGTTCTTGCATCTCTGCAGGTGCTAGATGATACGGCGATTTGGCTATGGGCGTAGCCCCTGAAACTAAGTCGATTCGGAACTCGACTTGACATTGCGGAGGTAATCCTGGGAGTTCTTGTGGAAAGATGTCGGGAAAGTCGCGTACTATTGGAATGTTCTAAATGTCCTTCGTTTCTTGGCTCGTATCGACCACATGAGCAAGGAATGCATGAAATTCCTTTCACAAGAATTTCAGAGCTTGGATGCTCGAGATGATACGAAGGTTCGTGGCGGGTTTGTTACCATAAACTATTAAGGTTTCGCCAGATAGCAGATTAAGGCGAACAACCTTTTTGTAACATATGATATCAGCACAATGAAGACTCCACCAATCCATGCCGATAATGACGTAAAATTTTTTAAATTGAGACCGACATGAGATCGATTGAAAATGAATGGCTATCTAAAGTTAGGCTCTCCTCAGGACAAGAGCAGATTTCGAAAACTGATTCGGTTTTCTCGAACCATTGCGAGAGGGCAATGACTCTGCCAATCCCCTTGAAGGACAATGGCTTGCAGTTTTTGAAGTCCTTATAGGAGCACTCTCTCGATCACACAAGAGCTTCAACCTAAACAGACTGAACAGGGGTTCATCCTCCAATAGAACCTGATGAATGATATTGAGCCATGGATGTAGCCACAGCTGCAGCTACATCCGTATTCAAGGCTATCGTGTCGAACTGAGGAGTAGGTGGTTGAGGAGGTGGAGGAGGTGCTGTTTCGTTATTATGGTTTCTCCTTGGATTTCTGCAAGGCGTCATATTTGATCTATAAGTTTATGAAGATGAAAACATTGATAAGAATTTAATGGAAGAATTTATGAACATGACTCATGGACTAACTCTACATAGCCCAACAATACGGTTGATTGTAGATCTAGAACTAATATCTTATCACATTTGGAAAATAATTCCCATAAGATTAGGTACATTTCAATATTACTGGAATTACAGATGTAATAAGTTCGGGAAAAACGTCCAACAGAAAGAGGCCTTACATCAACCAAAATGGGAAAATTTTGACAGTATTAAAACCTAACCAAGACCTAACAGGCCTAAGATTTACAAGATAGAGAATTAGACCAGAGTTTTACATAACTAGGTTATATCCAAAAGAGAGAAGTTGATGAGAATATATCGGCGACGACAACGACCAGAGTGAGTCCTTGATCCCGACAGAAGATGTTCTATGTCTCTCATACGCCTATCAGCCCTTACTTGCTGAGCTTGAAGTTCTCTGACTTCAGCTTGCGGTTCAGTGAGTTCCCTCTGAAGAGCTGCATTGTGAACGAGAGCCCTTTCATGATCAGACTCTAGTTGGCGAATGCGGACAGTATTAACACCAGTGTTGGAGTCAATCTCCAAGATTCGATCGATAGATGATTGACCCAGTATCGTGTTCCGAGAAATCCTACGAACCATGATGGGTAGGACTCTGTCAGCAGAACCTCCATTAGTGAGGTTGTATAAAATTTTGTCTCCATTGTAGGGAATGGGTTGACTCTGTTCATGGGTCCATGTATTCAAGTTTGTTGCCCACAGAGGTGCGGGTCCTTGAAATGTTGGATGAGCGTCAGGGTTTTGATCAGCTAGAGGTAGGTTGTTGACTTTTTGCTCTGAGTCAAAACCATCACAAAAGCCTTCAGCTTCATGATCATCCAAAGAAATTGAGTGATCATCTTCTCGTTCATCTTCTAGCCATCCGACATTTTCGTGGTTGGGATAGTACGAGTCTCTGGGAAGGTGGAATCCAACCATTAAATCTACGCGAGAAGAGAGGTATAAGAATCTAGCACATAAGTAGCTTATAGTAATGCAAAATACTCCTATAGTATTTTAAGTTGAAGTTCTATTTTTCTCCTTGTGGTATTGTTGGTAAGATTTTAGAGTTGTTGCAACCTCACAACTACACTTAGGCACATGCTAGTCAACCCTCGGATAATATAGTTGATCAGGCTATATCTTCCTAGTTTTGACTATATGTCTCTAAGTCTACTTGTTTTGCCCGACAATCATAATTATTTTGTATTGTCCTAGTGACACTGATTTTAGTATGAATGTAGGCACGTATACTTAATCAAATATTTTAAATATTTAAACTATAAAGTCTTGGTCAGAGTATTATTTATAATTAGTATATCTTTTATGGGTTGATATACTCAATTCACTATAGACAATGCTCTGATACGAATCCATCACACCCCAAAACCATGAACGGCGTAAACATTCTACGGTAGAGGACGTCATGTACAATATCACAACAATGAATAATAGTAAACAAGCAACAACATCATCCATTGCATTAATAATATAATTTCATACACGTGTGTTCTGTCATGTTTTATAGACACCAAAATATACATATCAAAATAAAAGATGAGTCTTGAACGAACTCCATCTTCTCAAAAGCCTCGCACCTGTACCTGTCTATTGGTGACATGAGAATACAAGTTATTTTGAAAGCGAGTATCAGCTTAATGTTGGTGAGATCAAAAGGATATTAATGTCTGTGTTTATATGAAAGCATATATAAGATGTTTTGTACAATGTTTTGTAAAATGTTTAAACTCTCCTAGAAAACCCTATGTTTCCTACAAACTGTAGCCTTCTACCAAGGCATCTAGTGTCTGTGTGTATGTCTCTGGTAAGAGTTTGTGTTTTCCTAATTCTGGCTATCATTAACCAAAAATATAGTTTTAACATTACCGTGCATCGTGTGAATAGTCACGAATTGAATGTAATGGGAAAATATCATAGTACCGTAGTATTTGTAATAAGTGACTACCGATGTACTTGCTACCTTAAAACAAAAGGAGTTTAAAGTAACATGTGATCGACCTGTATCCTGCTACCGACTCTAGTAAAACGACGATGTAAGACGCCGTAAAAATGACATATGGCACCCGTAGACTTGCAAGTCCCACTGTAGCGAGCAACAAGTTGTAGGATAGTCAATCCAATATAGATCTATACCACTACAAGAAAAATACCCTTTTACGACGCTCAAACCATGACACTCGGAGATTTATGTTACGCAAAAGAGATTGACATTAAAAAAGTGTCATCTCTTTAAAAAATTGAATGAGTTACGTCGCGCATTATTATGTGCCCTTAAATTAGTGTCTCGTGTAAAAAAAATTAAAAACACGTAGGGCACTTTATGTAAAATGGGTGTCCTCTCTTTTAATGTCGCTTTATATTTTTACTCAAAACACGCGCCCGACTTCAAGACCTCCCTTCATTCTCTTCCCTTTCTCTCTGGAAACCCTAATCACTAGACCATCTCTACTCGCATTCATTCTTGACGATCACCAGTAACTAGGGCTTTTATTCCCCACTTACATATAATCGTGATTTTCATCCTTGCATTTGTCTCAGATCGCTGCTTCTCGGCTCTTCTCCACCGCCTTATCTCCCTTCTCTGATACTATCTCTTTGTTTCTCTTTCTTTCTGGATGGTTCTACTGCTCCAGCTTCTCTATGGTACCATTCATCAGCTTCCTTAAGTCCACCAAGGTAACCGCCACTTTCGATCAGTCGGTGTCACCTCCTTCAGTTCCTTCAGTGATGGTGCGTTTTCTCAGTAAAATAAAATGCAACTGTGGTATAAATACAAATAACATAAATGGGGCTCATCGATTTAGGGTCTGATTTGTGTGTGGAGAAGATTGACGGGATTTCAGATCACGAATCAAAAGCAACGATGGAGGCAGAGTGAAAGCAACAAATAGAGACCTTCTTTTACACCCTCGAATCAAGGTTTGATTTCCGTATCTTTAACCCACTTCCGATGGATCATCATCACTAAAATTCTCCGTTTCTGGGAGTTTGAAACCGTATTCTTTTATCCTAATTCATACGCTTCTCTCTCTCTCTCTCTCTATCTCTCTCTTATTCATTTCTCTGTTTTTCTAGTAGTTTAAACTAGCCAAAAAAGATGGAGGGCGAATAGATCGTAATCGTGATGCTCAAAACACGTGGGATTTCTATCAGCATTACAAACGAGTACATAGAGTTGATGAAATCCAGATAGACGAACAAAGAATGCTTGAATCTGGAACTTTCAGTTATGATATGGGAGGGTAAGTACACTCTTATCATTTGTCCCTAAAATACCACTTTTTGATTTACGAAAAATACAATAATGTCACTTGTGAAAATTTAAGCCTCATTAGAACTGCTTATATGAATTTCAGTTTGGGACTGAGATCTCAAGAAACTAAAAAGGTATTTACCACATTAAGAGCTCTTGTTGAGGTAATGGAAATCGTTAGCAAAGATGTTGCACATGCTGGAGTTGGCAAATATATTATAGAAGAGGTATTTCTTCTCCCATCTTGCCTATGAGTTAACAATATCCTTGTACCATCTAAAAGTTGGTTAACTGAATCTTAAAGTATTCTATAGTTACCACTGAGAAATCATTATTCTTGTTGATTTGTCATCACATTGTTTTACTTTACTCTTTAGATGAAGAATCTCTTTATAAACTTTAAAGGCATCACCAATATTCATAGCTGATTATCAGATTGACATTAGTGTCAAGAGTTTCAATGTGATAGATACACATAGTTGGTGAGCAAGTAATGCATATAAGCACCTCTTATCATCTTTCACTTCTCCCTTTATAGCATCAAGGCAATATGACCACCTAATAAAAGAAAAAAAGATATTATGATTGTCAGCTTGACAAATTTGTGTTTCCAGTTGTGTAATGGTTTACAATAGTTTAATCTGTATTATATATATTCTCCACCATTCATTTGAAAATCAACAAAAACACTTCTCGTGCTTCACCTTCTTCCTTCAGTTCAATTCAGCTTTGTTTACTGATGGTGATATTATGTATGCAGAAAGACAATATCAGGAATCAAAGTGAGAATATTGCTCTCTCTTTAGCAAATGCACAATCATGACTTGGCATACTATCTGAAGCTGATCTAGTAAGTCTATTTTTTGTATCTACAGTTTATACACTATTATTAATGGAAGGTTGCTGACGTGTCATGCATAATTTTCTTAGAAACTAAATGAGAAAGCTATTATGGAAGTGTTCCTAAAGTTTCTTGATAATTACTTCAAATGGTGAAAATATTTGCGAATACGTCTTGTTTGGAACAGGTGACTTCCATCCCCTGTTATCACTTTTTATAAATAAAAATCATCGTTTGTCATGTTATGCTAATTGTGAAAGTTGTTTTCAATAGTATACAAGCCATTAACAAGGACAGGAAGCTTTTCTTGGTTTCATTATACTATTTAATCTGGGGTGAAGCTGCAAATGTCGGTTTTCTTCCAGAATGCATTTGCTATAGATTCCACCATGTAAGTGTCTTACTCTTATCTCTATTAGTTGATCAATTATTTAACCTGATTTTTTAAACTGATAAATACTTGTATTACCTAGATGGACAGGGAATTCAACGCCATTTTGGATCATGGACAAGCTAGCCCTGCACAGAGTTTTATTTGTGAAGATAATTCAGTTTCCTTATTGGCAAATGTCATTCAACCAATTTACAACACACTCTCTAAGGTCAATAAATCTTTTCCCCTCTTTTATTAATAAATGTAATGAGTTTGTTATTAATTAAATTGTCACTCGCATATTTAAACAAATCTTACTTTTTCACAGGAAGCAGAACGAAACAATAATGGGAAGCTTGCCCATTCAACATGGCGGAATTATGATGATTTCAATGAATATTTCTGGTAGGTCTTTCATCTTTGTTACAAATTACTCTTATTTTATATACTTTTCAGAAGCTTATACTTGAAATTATTCAGGTCACCTACTTTCATCTTTGTAGTATATGATATGAATTATCTGGAAATTGCAAGATATGCTTTTCTTTTTGTCTTGTGTGGAATCTTTATGGCTGGTCTATATATATATATATATATATATATATATATATATATATATATATATATATATATATATATATATATATATATATATATATATATGCAGCAGCTGGATGAGGATACAAATGCTGGTGGAACAAATTCGGATCACAAGACAGACATAAAGCATTCAGCAGAAAACAATGCGTCCTTTCTTATGAAATGAAGAATAATATTTAAATAGATGAGAAAGAGTTTTGGAGGTGATTGTTTTAGAGTCGGTCTCAGATGGTGAAGGAAATCCAATGCAGAAGCCAAACAAAAGGAATAATATGAAATCAGATAGCAGGCAGAAGGAGAAGGAGGATGATGGTAAGAAGCATTGTATTAGATTTGGATTTTGGAGGCGATAAATGAAAAATAAAATGTTCTTTGTTGACTGTTTAGCAATATGATTGATTTATGAGTTTTGGAAATTTAGCGGAAAGGGATAGAAACGAAAAGGAAAAGTAAAACGAGAGACAGGTGTCACCTGATATGCTATACAGGGCTGCACTTTTGAAAAACCATGTTGTGAACACAATTCCATATCATTCCTTTTGTTTAGTAATATAAAAGAGGACCCCCAACAACTTGAAAACCAAAAAAGGAAAGGTTTGCCACTACTATAAATATTTTAAGTTTTTCTTTCTTTAGTAATATAAAAACATAAATGTTGTGGTTTTTGAAAAAGCACGACTGCAAGCAGAAGCCAAGGCAGCTGAACATGCTTGGAGGCGAGTGAAGGCGGAAGCTGCTACAGAAGAAAAATAGAAAAGAGACCTGGAGAGGAAATCATCCAGACAAGCATTATTGAAGGTATTCCGTATTTCTATTTTGTAACATATATTTTATTATAATACATATTTCATTGTACTTTTTTCGGATTGAAAAAACGGCTGAGATTGATGAGGTGTCTCGGTTTCTGAAAGACTTGGACCCGAGAAATAAAATTTAATCTGAAATCTTAAATCTTAAATATTATCATGTTATGTATACATAAAGTAATAAACATAATTCTTGTTAATTTTTTATTTGAATTTGTTTTTATATTTTTTAGGCAAAAGAAGGAGTGTGCATATTGATCCAAAGTGGAGTTGAAAGTGGAGGTAAACTACTGCTTGATGGAAGAGATATTGTAGTATTTTTTTTTCAACTTCATATAATTCTTTATGATATAAGGGCAAAATGGTCATTTAATCCCATTCAGCAGACTTAAGTAAACAGATATTGGGCCCACAATCTTGTCTGGTGTTACTGAAGATATGGAGTGTTACAAGGTATAAGCTTTCTAGTGCTATTTTCAGTTATGAGGATGAGGAAGGGCATTTACGTCTTTTGCACAAAGTATGTTACAAGATTTAAAATTTTATCTAAATGCAGGAAGAAATATTTGGTCCAGTTCTTATTTTCATGCAATTCTATTAATACTTTCTATATGTAATACTTATTTAACTGATCATGTTCATAATTCATTCTCTTGAGGCCTAATTTTGTAATTTCACCATTTTTTTTTTCAGGCCAACAGCTTGGAAGAAGCCATAAATATTTCACAACATCTGGTGTAGCTGCTAGAACGTTTCAAATTGACAATGAAGTAGGGCAGGTATGTAATTTTACATATCCTATGAATATTATGACTTAAGAAAACATTTAAATTATTAAAATATGAAAATCTTTTTATTATTTTTTTTGTGTGGGTGTTGAATTTACGAATATGCCCGTGTGATGTAGCTCAAAATGCGGTTTCTGTGAATGAATTTTTAGGAGATACTTGGGATAAGAAACCGATTGAGATTGAAAAGTCAATAAAAACAGGTTTTTTTTTTCATTTTGACTTTTTCAGATTATCTTTTGACCTTTTGACTTTTTTTTTATTTGAAGATAAACATAATGTGTATTTGAATGAGTACCATAATCCACATGGGAAGAGAGCATTTCAAGCAAATGTTACAAAAACTTTACAAATTGTTTAAGCATGAAAATCCTCCTTTGCCTGGTTTTCCTTCTCTCCCTCTCTCTCACTAGTAGTTTTTGTCCCGTTATAGCATCCTACTTTCATTTCCTTCCCAATTACATCATTGTACTTTCATGTCTTTTTCTATTACAACTTTGTATTAAATAAAAAAACATACTCAATCATAGCAATTCCTGTTACAAAAGGTTTGATGTCAATGTCTTGTGAACCACTTGTTCATTTTCTAATGTAGATCTCAGTGTCGGAGATGGCGAAGGAGAAGGCTTCAAGTTTTAGAATTTGGATTCTGTTGTAGATTTGGAAACAGAAAAAGATAAGGATGTCATTAATAAGTAGGAAAAGGTTTGACTTCATGACTTTATGATGATTTCCTTTTTAATTTTATATATATATATATATATATATATATATATATATATATATATATATGTTGCTATTCTTTTTTTAATCAATTCATTGGTATCTTGTAGCAGCTATACAAAGAGCTTTTGGTTGCTCAGGAGGAAGCCCATTTGGCTCATCAACAACTTACCTCTTCAATGGTAATAGTGGAGAAATTTTGAATAGACATCTTACAATAACACTCTTAACATACGACTCTAAAGCATTGGCAAAGTTATCAATAGACAACCAAGAAATCACATTTGAGATTCAACAATATATTTATTCTCATATGTATCTTTTTAACAGGAATAGGTCCAAGGGCAATTAATATTGAATCATCAAATCAAGAAAATGTTGATCTTTAGAACACTTCATGTTGAAGTTGCAAGAAACAGAGAAATCGAAGCATCACTTGTGGTTTAATTCAGATTCTAGGACAAAAAGAGTCCTAGGGGTATTTTTGGAATATTTAGTTTTTCTAACTTTTATGCGTAGTCCGAGGGGCTACAAAAGGTGTTAGTGTTAGTGATGTAACCTTGGTTCATATTCAATAAGTGTTGTAGAGCTAACAAATGGTTCTTTAGGTATGCAATACTCTAAGCATAATTATAATATAAAACTATAAAAAATTTAATTTTTTGATATATATTTTTTATTTTGTTTTGCAGAGGATACTAAAGAGCAAATCTTGCAAAGGATATTTTTTGTTTTGTTTTGTAGAGGATACCCCTCACATTTTCCCAAATTACCCTTTCCTCTACAATGTTTTTTTTGTTTCTGTGTATTTTGTGCATCAGGTAAAGTTGGTGGAAGAAAGGAAGATGAAGCCACTTGATTCAAATCTTGCAGCATTATCAGCAAGATGCAGTAAAGACTTGGAGCTGAATTTGGCTAAGCTCATTCTTGAGTGAGATAGGCCAATGTACAACTTCTTATCCATATAACAGCTGTTTGGAGCATTAGTCTTAAAGAATTATGAAAGGCAAGATGCAACTTTACTTAGTTGGAATTTGATGTAGAGAGTAGATTAGATGCAAATTTAAATATTGTAAAAAATAGAATTGTATGACATTGAATTTTATGAAATGGATTGTATTTTTTGTATATGATATTTTATTTCTATTATGAGACATTAAATGCAAATTTAATTTAAAAATTAAAAAATATATAAATATTTTTTTAGAACATTTAAAATTATGATACGCAAAAATGTGTGTCATCTTCATTTATGACATGGCCTTTCTTGACAGGGCCTCCTTGATACGCATTGTGTGTCATAAATACGCGCGTCTTAAGCTTACGACACGCAAGTGCGTGTCATCTTCCTTTATGACAGGGCCTTCCTTGATACGCATTGCGTGTCATAAATGCGCGTCGTAAATGCGCGTCGTCTATAGACGACTGGCAAAAGCGCGTCGTCTCTCTTTATGATAGGGCCTTCCTTGACATGCATATGCATGTCGTTTGAGCATTTTACGAAGCGCAGTGAGCATCATAAAAGGCCTTTTTTCTAGTAGTGTACGCAAACTTATACTCTCCCCAATTAAGGAGATTCAGTATACAAAAAGGGTCATGGCAGGAAGTGCCATGACCCGTCTAATGGTTCACATAACTGCAAGAATGTATATGTAATGAATGTACTAACTGTAAAGTGTACTCTTTCTCTATCTAGCGTGTATGTACTGAAATGTTCTGTGTGTGCTATATGTAATGTATGTTCTCTCTTTGTCTAGCATGTATAGTAATGTACTGAAATGTTCTGTGTGTGCTAGTTGTAATGTATGTTCTCTCACTATCTTGCATGTATAGTAATGTACTGTGTGTACTAGCTGAAATGTGTGCTCTCTCTATCTAGCATGTATAGTAATGTACTATGTGTACTACTCTAAATGACTCATGAACCAACTGACTCATTGTATGTTTCATTGTTCTAGTAATAGTATTAGTATCTTCCTGTGCTACCCTTATGTTAGCTAACTAGTAATGTAATTTGTATGTTTGAACATGGAAGTATACCCTTGCTACCCAAGGGTATTGAATGGACTGGAAGAACCTTTATCTCTATATATGTATACATAATATATAACTAATATTTAGACTAGCTTCGGATGGATAACCGATGCCCTACAACCACATCCCAACGAGGAAAAAGATATAACGTGAGCTGGCCTTCCTAAGCCCTTTAAACATTGGTTATATAACTATACATACATAGGCATTCATTTGATGACAAGTGTAAAAGATTTTAAGTAATAGTATTTGATAAGTAAAAGAGTTTGTAAAACAGTTTGAAGCAACACAGTTTGATAAACAGTTTGAACAGTAAGAAAAACCACTGGTTTTGTAGTTATTAATCACATGTGATTGATGTAATAAATGTATGTATTTAACTTGTATTCCCCCCCCCCCCCCACAAAATCATTTAAAAACATTTAAACCATTTATTAAGGGGTATGAACTCACCTGTAGTGAGTGGTACGGATGAATTGAAGACGTAGGATTACTAGGTGTCAAGTGAAGTCTTGAACACACTCTATGATCCTAGTTAACATATAATATCACATATATGTATACAGTTAGTCTTTAAAAAACAAATAAACAAAGTTAAGACACCCTAGGACATGCTAAACACCTTATATAAGTGTTATAAGTCCCAAGGGTTGAATCTAAGTATGGCAGGGAAAGGCTAGTGTGCTTGGGGTTCATGGAACACTCCAATAGGGAGTTTACGGTTTAATGGTCACTAGCAAAAGGGTTTACATTCGTAAACCCTTGGATTTACGGCCGTAATCTCACCCCCTTTGTGACCATTTGTTGTTTTATGTTTAAGAGTCCCTAGAGACCTTTCTACTTGATGTATGTGACCATGGAAGGTACTAGGGCAACATTTCAATCCTAATTCGAGTTTACGGTCCCTAAACCATTTTCCTTTGCGTTTACTACAGTAAAACCATAAAGTTTATGGTATTTTGTGTGTTTTCAAATCCTTAGCTCCTCATGGTAATAATCTTGGTTAGCTGCTAGGCATAAGGAACAAATATGGGACATTTATACAACTTTCGGGGTGTTTACAGTTTTGGGAGATCCCCAGAACGTAAACACATATAAATGAGTGTTTTCTTGTTCTTTTCATGTGAAAAACACATCAAGGAAGGATCTAGACTTGCTACCAAGGTTTGTGATGGACAAAAGCACCCAAAGGCACCTTAACTTGGTGTTTACGGTTCAAGAACTTCTTGAACCGTGAACACATAGTTCTTTGTGTTCTTTGGTGATTTCCTTGATATTAAGGTGTATAGAAAGCTTTAAATGACTCTAGGATAGAATTACTTACTTTATGGAAGCTTGAAATGATCTAAAAGTCCAAGAACACTAGTGTGTGTTCTTGGTGTTCTTGGTAAAAAGGAAGAATCAACCTTTTTGGAATGATTTCACGGTTAGAAGTGTTTTAATACACTAGATCTAAGTTTATAACCACTTAAGGAAGCTAGAAACACTTAATAGATTGAAGATGTTGAAAATCTTTTTGGATGATACTTGAGAGAGAATGGTTTTGGATCTTGAGAAGTTTTTGAAAAAGTGAAAATAATAACTACATCTTCTATATATACTCTCAGATTTATGGTTTTTGTTAAAAAATATTTTATTCATGTAGTGAACTCTAATCTCTTAGAGTTTTGGAATAAAATTGTTGCACAATCACCCTAGTGCGTCCTCTCTCCTGATATCACCAAAGTGTGAAATCCTGAAATACTCAAACTTATTCTAAAAAGTCTGAAAATTGACAACAACTGTTCTGACTTCTATTGAATTGATATGTTTGTACAGAATAGAAATTTCGGGTTGTCACACATAAAGGGTAATATACAACTATATTTTGGTAATGATAGTCATACTTGGGAAAAGCATTCACTTTACAAAGAGACAAACATACAAAACAGTCAGGTCTTGGTAGAAGACTACTTTTTATACTAGTAGAAAATATAGGGTTTTCTAGGAGTTTTCAAACATATACAAATGTTTACATTGTTCAAATACAAACAGTTTCATGAGAATTATACTATTATTGACACTAAATACTTAAGAACACACCAGCTTAAATGCTGATCTATGCTTTCAAAATAACTTGTATTCTCAGGTCACCAGTAGACAGGTACCGATGATCAGGTTTTGAGAAGAGGGAGCATCTTCAAGACTTGTCTTTTATTTTGATTGTTAATTTTTGGTGTCTTATTACTATTAAAGAACACACTTGTATGAAATTATACTATTAATGCAATGGATGATGTTGTTACTTATTTACTACTTTGCATTGTTATGATACTGTACATGATGCCCTCCGCCCTAGAACGTTCCACTGTTCTTGGTTTTGGGGTATGACACAAGCTAATCATCACCAATTAGTATAATCGCGAACTCCGACTGCGAATGAAACCATTTTCATCAGTGTGGAACTTAACATCAATGTAACTATTACAATTATCTCTTCCATACTATCAAGATCATTTCCTCTGTCCTCCTAGGACACTTAATAATGCTCTCAATCTTGATTCGTTGATTCTTGCCGAATTCATCTAATCCAACTTGTCATGCTCAAGGCATATGAGTCATCAAATATGATACATCTCATGGTATATATGATAGATCCCATAGCAGAAGCATGTAGGACATGACTCATCACCTCTAGTTCAATAGTAAAAGTAGGACATCAGCATTGCTTAATGTTATGCCATATTTCAATAAGCAAAAACTCCTTTTCGAGTTCTGCATTTCAAGTTTCCTCATTATTCCATGTAATTTTTCTTATTTAAACGAATCACTCTGATTTATCTCGATAGCTCCTTATTATGTACGTGTTCTTTATTTCCCATGTATATCGTAGCGAAACAATTATCAAACCAAGCCAGGTTTTACACTTTCTAAGTTAGCATGTAGTTCCATATGAATTATATGTTATCTATGTATAATACAAGGGTGACTACAATGCTCCTCCCACTAACATTGACATATATGTGGTTTGTCTATGTTTCTCGGAATTAAAACCCTTTGAACTTTTTCATTTAAACAAAGATTCTAATTACTCCCACTAGCTTTGACATATGTATGACTCGTCTTTATTTCTCAGAATTCAAACTCTTTGAACTATCTCATTAAAATAATGATCCCACTTGCGAGATGCTTATTTTGGTCATAAATAAACTTATTAATCTTACATATCTTTCACAACCTATCTTGGTTTGATTATGTGTTTGTTCCTATCCATGTTTGTTTCTTCTTGAAGATGCACTCATACCTAATGGTCAAGGTCAAGTGCTTGATCTAGCAAGTTTTCACATACATGGATTAAATCTCACTCTCCATGTCCTCCTTCCATGTTGCAAACTTTAGGGCCAACCATAGCTTCTGATAGTTGGTATACTCTGATTGTTCCATACTAGTGTTGGATTAATATCTAAGTCCATAACTACAATTGGTAAGACTTGACCCGACCCGACATGGTCCATTTGGGTTGCATGGCATCATGCACTTGGATAAACTATAATGAGAGAAATAAGACTCTTATGGTTATTAATTTATTATAGGTTCTAGTATATTAATAATAAGAATAATAAAATTATTTAATTAGTATTGATCAAGAATTAATCTAGGATTAATTAAGTGATCAAAAGAAGACTAATTAAATATATGGGTTGATTGTACAAATCATCCATACTTATATAGTGGGCTAATGCTCCATGGATTATCTAGTTGGGCTAAAACCCATATGATGCTCCATGGTATTTTTGTACCCATGGATCATGGAAATGAAAGGCCATGTCAATTAGGGTTTACATGGTGTAACCCTAACTATATAAGCATCTTATTCTTGACCAAAATCGTCCACTAGAGAGAGTTAGAAAGGGCTAGCAGA